GGCCTTGGAGGGGGAGGGGCCTCATCCTATACACCGGGGGCCAGGGAGGGGATTGGAGGACCTGGAGGGGGCGGGGCCAATACTTTGGGCAATATAGAGTATGAATGAGGCGGTGGTAAGGAGCGAGTGCCGGGCCTTGGATCAGAGGCGGTTAGGTACATAGAGGGGTTCACATACTATCTGCCCAGCGAGGACGGCACTGTGGTGGTTTGAGGAGATTGCACGGGGCCAATACTTTGGGCAATATAGAGTATGAATGAGGCGGTGGTAAGGAGCGAGTGCCGGGCCTTGGATCAGAGGCGGTTAGGTACATAGAGGGGTTCACATACTATCTGCCCAGCGAGGACGGCACTGTGGTGGTTTGAGGAGATTGCGCAATCCATCCTGGGAGCATTTTTTGGGGCGAGTTGAGGAGTTTGGGGTGACACGTCAGTCTGCGGCACAGAAAGTGACACGGACACTACAGAAGATCCGTTTCATTTCACTGACACAAGACGGCGAATGTACAGAGCGCCGCCCACATCTCCCACCAACGTCTCATGGACACAACCTCCTAAATGCCAGAACCGTCCCCCAAAGTCTCGTGGACACAACCTCCTAAATGCCAGAACCGTCCCCCAAAGTCTCGTGGACACAACCTCCTGGACATCGGAACCCTCTCTGTAAGGTCCTGCACTGCGACACTTTGGTTTAGGGGGCTCAAAGAAAAAATATATACTCACCTGATCTACAGTCCCATCTGGCTGCTAGACTGGTCCCTGCAGCCTCCTCCCTGGGCCTCGGAGGTCTGAGCCCCACGGATGTCATTGTCAGTCCATTGGACACGAGGACACCTAAAGACGTACCACAGCCGGAGAGGAGGGGGAGAGGCATATCTGCTTTTCTTGAGCCCCCTAGACAGAACGAGGCCCCTCCCCCTTCAGTCCGGGGGGTGCGGCACTTATTTTAATGTGAAGCATTCCAAAACCTTTCCCGATATCCATCCCCCCATACAGCAGAGGCAGCACTAGGAGCCAATCACAAGCAGCGGTCCGGGTGGTGACCCCACTATATGGCTTAACTCCAGTATAAAAAGTGAGGTCACTGAGCAGGCTTTGTGGTGGTGGGGGATGGGGGGATCCTATATGCTACTGTAATCTCCTGGGGGGCGGGGACTGTGTACAGCGCTGTGTACATTGTTGGCGATATAAATAAATACGTATTTCCACTTCTATCAGCTGTCGAGTTGTTGGACTTCAGCGTCAAAGGTCACCGAGCTCTCCACCCAACACCATCCTGTGCCCATGTGTACATTCCCGGCCACTCTACAGAACCCCGACCTGACCATGATCCCCGATATATCTACAGAACCCCAACCTGACCATGATCCCCGATATCACAACTACACCCCGACCTCACTAACA